ATACTAATGAGTCAGAGAGCACCATGGATGATCTGGAGACAAAGAGCAGCCAGTGGTTTCAGAGGGAACTTTTCTCCATAAACGCAAATTGCAACCTTCAAAACAGGTCAGGGGTAGTGAGTGTTTCAGAGTGGATTAAAAAAAAAAAACTTGTCTTTTGTAAAGCACTGGTTTCAAAACTCATATTTTGTAGAGCCCCAGTTACAACTAAGCAAGTTCTTACAAAATACATTTGATTTTAGATGAAAATTCTGTTGTTTACTCACCCTTATGCTCCAAACCAGTATAATTTTTGATTTTTAGGTAATATGCTTCCATATTCCACAGAAAGAGATGTTAGGCAGTATTGCTCTTTTCCATAAAGTGAATGGGGACCAGGAGCTGTAAAACTCCAGAAATAACCAAAATACACCATAAAACACCACAAAAGTCATGATGTTGAATGTTTTATAAGTGGATAATGATTTAAAGGGCTAAAAGGGTTTGTGTTCAAAAAGTATTCTCGTAGCTTCATAAAATTAAGGTTGAAACACTGATGGCACATGGACTATTTTAATGATGTCTTTACTACCTTTCTGGGCCTTGAATATGGTAGTTGTATTGCTGTCTATGGGAGGATCAGAAAGCTCTCGGATTTCGTCACAAATATCTTAATTTTTGTTATGGAGATGAACGAAAGTCTTACAGGTTTGGAACGGCATGAGGGTGAGTAATTGACAGAATTTTCATTTTTGGGTGAATTTTCCCTTTAAACTTCTGTATTTTACTCATACAAAGTTATATGTCCTTAGTACACTCAGAATATACAGTAGCATAAAATGCTGCATGGTCCTTTTTGTCATTCTTGGAGCTTGACAAAACATGGTCACATTAAATTTTAATCAGCAACATCAGCATTCTCCTAAGCTTCTCCTTTTCTGTTTTATGAGAGGACAAAACAATTGTAAAGGGTTCAGAATGATAAAAGTAGTAAATGAACAATTTTTGGATGAAGTATTCAGAAAGTGTAGAATTCAGCAGTGGGAACAGCTCTGATTCAGACAGAGCCTGCTGGATCCAGGCATTTGGTTAGCTTGCATGACTTGTTAAAGCAAGCAAGTTTCAGAAAGATCAATGTGATAGTTAGAATGATCTGTGTCCACAATCTCTCTCTCTTAACTCGTTTGTACATATAGCAGTGGTTTTTAGGTCACAGAGGCTGAGGGAGAAAAGTCCTTTGTTGGCACATCGCTCCACAAGTGCATGCAAAACTGAAGTAATGTGTTCTGGACCCACCTGACTTTTTCCACCATCCAGAACAGTCCTCCAAGAAAATACTGCTGACTGGTGGAAAAAGTGTTTTGAGGCATTTCTTTTTTTTTAGTTTTTTTTGGCTCTTGCATTTTTACCCTGACATCTCTCACTCCTGTTGGTCTTGATCAATCCACACTATGACTTTCTTCTGTGGAACTCAAAAGGAGATGCCTGTGATCAAGTTTAGTGTTGGTTTTAGGTCAGAAGTTCAGGATGAGATCAGCACAGGGTAGTTTCTTCTCTGTCGTATGATCAATTATCAGATTTCCCAGCTTGTCTGCTGCTGGGAACGCATTAAGTGTTGAAAGAGAGTGACTGCCCTGACCTCATGTCATCTGTTGTTGGCAGACTAAGTTATTCACTGCTTAGAAAAACTAGATATACTAGACATTCATCTCTTTTTTTGTTGTTTATCTATTTCAACACTTCTCCCACTACTAATATATCTTTTATCAGCACTATTTCTATTTCTCTTTTGCCATTTCACTAAATCTAAATCTATAGCATTGCTCTGAGCAGACTGTAAGCTTTAGTCGCGAAGGAAAAGACGTCATGTAGATGTTAAACATAGTTATGCTGCATGTAAACAATACTGAATGATGTTTTATGTGAGCTTTTTTGGGAAGAGAAATGCTTTATAGGATCTCATGAGGGTTCAATGCGAAATTGAAGTATTAAACTGGTCCTGATCAGTTATTTCTCTTACTGGGTGAATCTAACTAAACCTGTCCAGATCATATTTCAGTACAAGGTCAAAAGAAATATTAAAGACTTATATTTCGCTTAAAGAAAACGATGTCCAGTTTTAGAACCATAAAATGTTCATCTATGTGTTTCGGAGGAGGCATGGCTTTGGAGAGTGATTTGCAGGCAGGGTGGTATCTTATGGATTCAAAGCTAGCTTGCTATTGCTAGCCTCTCTGAAATTGTGTATACCCTACCTTTAATATATGCTGATTTAAAAAAAAGGGAAATGTCCAGATGCATTGCAGTAATTGAATTTTGGGATGAATTATGGAAGGGAATTGTCATGATAATGTCACAGTGAAAAAAGTCTTAATATTCCTAAAAAGGTTCACATTTTCTAATGCAAAGCATATTTTTTTTTCTTTTGACTTCTGATTGATTGACCCTACTAGGTATTTCCTATGGAGGCTTACCATTATTATTGTGTCTTGGGCTGTGTTGCTGTAGTTACTTTAGTCCCACTGTCTCCTGGAGGATTTGTTAGTGTTAATATTAATGACGGATTGTGAGATGATTATTGTGCCTGTGGTGAAGGGTGAGTGTTGGAAGGGTCTTACTGCAAACTTTGTGGTTTTACTTCTGCTCTGTTTTCCCAAAGAAAGTCCTAAAAATTGTAGGTTTGAAAGTTAGCATTTGAATCCATTTGTCAACCTCCTTTCAGACCGCAGAAAAGGCAAAGGCCCAAGTACAGGATAAAAAAAAAATCCTTTCTCATTCTTTTTCCCTTATCTGTCTTTTTAGAGGAGAAATATGTCACTGTCCAGGCATATACCAGTCAGGGAAAAGATGAGATCGGGTTCGAGAAAGGAGTAACCGTGGAGGTCATCCAGAAGAACCTGGAGGGATGGTGGTACATCAGGTAATCAATCTGGTCCTCATACTTTAAGGTGATGTTTAAGATGTGATTTTTTTTTTCAATTTCCTCAATGCAATATGTGACCCTGGACCACAAAACCAGTCTTAAAGGCACAATATGTAATTTTCGCCGCTAGAGGGTGCGTATTCAAAATAAACAGAGACAAAGGCGTAGTTTGATGACGCCGTGACTGAGTGTGGAATCATGGGAGTTGTCGTTTTTATCCCCACAGCCGATGCAATCCGACGGGACTCAGGCAGAAATCATGTTCATGGATGAGCTAATGATGTATTAACGTAGTAGAATGAAGCAGGGTGAGGCTGAAAGCCGTCGAAGCGAAACGAGGCCGCTGAACGAGCGTAACACACGGCTCGAAAGCAGCGGAGCTTTTATTATGCCACAGTCGAGCGCTTCCGCTCCTTCCGGTCGTGCGGATATGGGGGGAAAAAAAGCAGCGCAAGTTTTATCATACTGGATACATTTGAAAGTTCTGTTATAATGCTACTCTGTGCGGTCGTCACTGGTCTATTAAAATGCACAACATATTAAAGTGTCTTTGGTGTTTCCATGTTTTCTACAAAACAAAACCAAATCGAGGGGTTATGATGTCATTGGCAGGCGACACAATGACACTATGGACACGGTCCGTGTCACTAGTTAAAATTGCTTATTTCTCTGGATTTAAACATTCTTCGAAACATTTGGGATAATGTAAGTACACAGTCCTATCCTAACAAACCATACATCAATGGAAAGCTTATTTATTCAGCTTTCAGATAATGTATAAATCTCAATTTCTAAAAATTGACCCTTATGACTGGTTTTGTGGTCCAAGGTCACATATGATTTACATGTTATACATGATTTACATATATAAGTTGTGTGTGGGTATACATCAGTTTTACATAAGGGGAGATATGTGTCCATAAAGAGCACTACAACTTCATCTTACTTAAAACATTATGCTGACCTCTAGTGGTCAGTATGAGAATGGTAAATTCATGGAGTTGTACAATTCATTAGTATTTATTTAATTATTTATTATGTCCATGTCTGGAAAGATAATACTGCTACTAATGTGTTGCAGGTATCAGGGTAAAGAGGGCTGGGCCCCAGCCTCATACCTGAAGAAACTGAAAGATGACCTTTCCCCAAGGAAGAAGACTCTGACTGGCCCTGTGGAGATCATCGGAAACATAATGGAGATCAGTAACCTCCTCAACAAGAAAGCTGTTAGCGAGAAGGACATTCAAACTGACGGAGAGGCCACCAGCCCTGAGCGCCACATCTCCAAAAGTGAAATCAGTTTACCTATCCCATATGCCCCAGAGGCTGGAGTGGCACCCACAGTGGTCACTGGTTTGGGAATGAACTCTGGATCTAGTGCTGCCCTACAAGAGAACAAGAGCAGGGCAGAGCCGGGGTCACCTGCTATAGCCCGGGTGGCACCACACAGAGTTGAAATAGGTGAGTAAAGAGTTATGACATGTTTAACTAAAGGTATACAGCATTCACATGTTCAGAATATTAGAAAAAATATTATATATATAAAACTTGAAGTATTTATTCACATAATTATAATTAAATTGTATTATATTATTTTCTAATAAAATATATAGCTATAATTTAACTAAATATATTATCTTATTTTTCTATATAATTGTACAATTATATAGCCATATTTTATATAATAAATATGTTTATTTTCCTGTTATTTTTGCACATAGGATTTGATGCCATAGGTAACATTTCTTTTTGGTAAACAGATGTTTCCTAACATTTTGTCTGGGTGTTGTGTACCTTGATAGTGACACATTCACTGTCTCTGTTGCTCAACATTCAGCCTGTCAACTGCTGTTTGTTTGCTGTTTGTTTGTTCTTGTGCTTACTTATTTGTCTAATGCCAAATGTACACTATACAACTGAAAAAAAAAAAAAATCCCATGCTGTACCTCTCACATTACATGACTTTCATCCTTGTAAATCTGTTTTGTTGTGGATGGTATGATGAACAGACTACTATTTCACATTAACAGGTTCTTAACAGACGGCATATAATCCCCAAAATTCCTGGTGTTGGTTAAAACTTGCAGTGACTGATGTGCTGTATCCATGGCACTTCGTGCTAAAAACCTAAAAAAACAAAAAAGATGAAACATGACATTTAAAGAGACAATGTTCGTTTTAAGCTTCTAATTTTTTTTCTTTTGTTTTCTCTTTGGCTATTGCTATCATTATTCTCAGTCATAACCAGGTCATTGCATTTCCCACACTACAATATTTCCTTCTAAATTTTATTATTATTATAATATTTTTTTTTAAAAATATGCTTGTTGTGAACGCATGCTTGAGTGTGTTGGAACATGTCTCTAAACTTCTCTCTCTTAATGAGGATTACTGATGGCACTGTAATCCAGTTTGGCTCCAATTTGACCTTTTTTTGAAAATGCTAAAAAAGTTTTGGCGAAAAGGAAAACTGCGAACTCTCCTAATTTCCAAGTCCTACATTTGATTAAAGGGGTCATATGATGCTTTTTAAAAGATCATTATTTTGTGTATTTGGTGTAACAGAATATGTTGACATGCTTTAATGTTCAAAAAACACATTATTTTTCAAATACTGTACATTATTGTAGGTCCTCTTTTCTTTTTTTTTTTTAAATTCAATTTATTTGGACAGGGACAACGCACAACAACAGTGTTGTGCCAGAGTTAGCTATAAAGCTAATTTGCATCTGCAGATATTTGCTGTCTTTAACTGAGAGACAGTTAATAAAATGTTTTGTATTCACCTGGCAGGATCTCCAAACCTCAGGCAGAAACCTCCTCCTCGAAGAGATACAAATCTGGTAAGCAGACCAAAATCATTTATTGATATTTTAAATTCAGTACAGTAAAGACAGTACTGTCCTTTTCTTCAATACTCAAGGCATTCCAGTTGCCCAAACCTCCAGAGGCCCCTACTGTGGAAGCGGAGTACTACACCATAGCAGAGTTTCAATCCAGTATCTCAGACGGCATCAGTTTCCGTGGAGGACAAAAGGCTGATGTAAGGCAGATAAATTCTTACTATAAAATGTGATTATTTTATTTTTCAAAAACTAAATAGGAACATCTTTTGACTAATGAGAATATTAAAAAGTATAAATATACTGTATAGAGTGGAGTCAAAAAGTGTTTCTTTAAAGCTTAATATAAACTCATTTTCAGGATTGAAAATTAAAAATGACTATTTCTGAAGAGCAATATTTAGGATTATTTAAGGTTTTTATGCACACTTTAATAATGCAAACAAATTTGTGACATTCATTGAAAGATAAGCATATTAATTAGTGGTGATTAGTGATGTTTGAAACCCACTGTATAATAAATATATGCCATTGTATTAAGTAAATATGTAATATGTGGTCTTCAGGTCATAGAGAAGAATTCTAGTGGTTGGTGGTATGTCCAGATCGGGGATATGGAGGGCTGGGCACCCTGCTCCTTTATCGATAAACGCAAGAAGCCCAACCTGAGCCGGCGAACCAGCACACTTACCCGCCCTAAAGTTCCACCCCCTGCTCCACCAGTCAAGAAACAGGACTCAGAGGAATCACCTTCTCTGGCTGGCTCTGCCTCCAAAGCTCCAGAATCTCCCACTCAGTGTGTCTATGAGGAGCCGGAATATGATGTTCCCGCCATTGGTTTTGACTCCGATCTGGACAGTAATCCTCCAAAACAAAAAATAAATAATTCCCCAAAACCAGAGCCCCGTAAGTTTGAAATTAAAAGCAACCCAGCAGCTGCCGAAAGAATTGCACAGGCTGGCAAAGCATCGCCTTTACTAAAAGTGATGACCTCCCCCTTGAGGAAAAGAAACTCATTGGAGGATGTCAATAAGGAGGAGGTCATTTATGAAAATGAAGGCTTTAGGTTCTCCTCCGATGACTTTGCCAGTGGTTGCAATTCACATACCCCAAGGAGTCTCACACTGGGTCGTAAACCCTTCGGGTCCTCCTCTGGAGGAGGAAAGCCCCTCCGGAAAGTAACGCCGGATCTAAGCCGGAGTCACTCTCTTGGCCGTGCTGAGAGACACAGCCCCAAGTCATCATCAGACGAATCAGGACGCAATCCCAAAAGAGAGCCTGTCATGCGAAAAGATGTGGAGATCCGGGTTGGTCAAAGTCCCTTAGCCAGGCCCAAACCAGTCGTGCGACCCAAACCTCTGCTTACAAAGTCAGAGCCACAAAGTCCCGAAAGAATGGACATCAGCAGCCTACGCCGCCAGCTTCGACCCACCGGAAGTCTTCGGCAAGGCCCGATCCGTGCAGTACGTGGCGGTGAAGATTCCGAGTCTGCTTCCGTTGTGTCCTCTGAGGATTCCGTCTCCTCTAGAAGTACCTCCGATCTCTCCAGCGTCTATTCCAAAGGTAGCCGAGGTGGGGAATCCGACCATGAAAGTGTGCTCTACAGGACCACAGATGCCTACGAACGGGCCCAAGAGTCAGAGGTCAGCTTCCCAGCTGGTGTGGAGGTTGAGGTACTGGAGAAGCAGGAAAGTGGATGGTGGTATGTCCGTTGGGGCGATGATGAGGGATGGGCACCTACTTTCTACTTCGAGCCAGTCAAGAATACCCAAAACGTCAGTGTACAAGAATCCCGTGATGGCCCTCTTGTTGATCTTGGTAGCACCAACAAGTCCAACAGCCTCGAGAAAAATGAGCAGCGTGTTCAGGCCCTTAACAACCTAAACCAGCAGAACCTGAGGAGTATGAGCAACCCTAGTCCACCAATCCCATCCAAACCACCGGGGGGTTTTAGCAAACCAACCGCAATGCTGAATGGTTCAGGTGTACGGATGAGGAACGGTGTCCGTCAAGCAGCAGTGCGACCGCAGTCAGTGTTTGTATCTCCACCACAGCCTCTGAAGGACACCAACATCCACACAGGGTCTTTGAGAAGAAATGAATCACTGGGTGCAGGCGACCACTTGAGGTCCACAGCCGGCGTAAGGCGAAACTCCTCCTTCACTGCCGTTCGACCGCAGGCGGTGACTGATGTACGGGTCAGGTCTGGGACCACCAATACAGCACCCGCCGGAAGTTCAAGCCCCTTGATTGCCCAGAGAAACGGAATTCCAATCTCTACAGTAAGACCCAAGCCCATCGAGAAGACACACCTCATTCACAACAACCTTCGAGAGGTTTACGTATCTATCGCTGACTACCGTGGTGACGAAGAGACCATGGGTTTCTCGGAGGGCACTAGTCTTGAAGTTCTGGAGAAGAATCCAAATGGATGGTGGTACTGCCAGGTTCTCGATGGCTTACAGGGACGTAAAGGCTGGGTACCGTCTAACTACCTGGAGAGAAAAAAGTAATTCCCCAAAAATGTTTTAAACATGCACAATTGTAATCAAAATGTAAAAAGATGAACTGACTGAAGGACTTTTGGTTTGAAACGAGAGGGACAGAGCCTTTTAGAAAGGAGTTTACATTAAAACTAGAGTAATGCAGGTGAATGTTTAGCAAAATACCTGCCGTAACTTTATGCCAAATGGGTGCCTTCGTACATCTTTCACTGAATGTTAAGAGGAATCGGTCAAATACCAGTGACGCAACGAAAATACCAAACTTCAACTTAGTGCCATAGGCCTACAAGTACAGAAAGCACCAAACTTATTTTTGTTACAACAAATACGAGTGAGAAAGATCATTTCAGCATAGGTGCATAACCAAAAGTGCAAATCCATTCTTAAGCACTTGTAAACAAGAAATTCCTGTTTAAAAATTTTTGAACAAAAAACCAACGTCGAAAGTTATCTTAGCATTGAGTGCGCTCAAAGAAACAAAGCATAACTTTGATTGTCGTTTTTTAAAAACTATCCTTTTTTAAATAGTTTTGTGTTGATGTTTGTGTTATATCTTCCTTAGAGATGTATTTCTGCTTTCTTGTAACATCCTAAAGCCTCGTACACACCGGGACGATTATCGCGCGCGTTTATCGCCGACGTTTTTCGACGCGTCTTTTGTGTTCATACCCAAGCGATTTTCGCAGGCGATGAGCCGAATGAACGTGCAAATTCACTCCCTGACATTAGATGGCGCTTAATGAAAAACAGAAATACCCCGGTACACATTGAATCTTATTTGATCTGCAATTCCTCTCCATAACAACTCCCTCTTATCGAGATTTTTGTAGTCGCTGTCGCGTTTGTCATAAAGCCCTTTGTGTTCAGACACCAATGAGACCAGCAGCTACATTCATCTTGCCTCGATGCATCTTCTTGGTCTACTTACTTCCTCTTTGTCGTTAGCTATCAATGTGTACTCAGCAAGACCGTTTTGTGCTTGAGCGCCACCAAGTCGTGTTTTACTGTAACTTCAGCAGCTCCAGGCACGTGAACAAAAGTGCCAATCTCATTAGTCGGCCAGTTTTTAACGCGGCGCGTCAAACCAAAAAAACGAGCCCGAGGCGTTTTTTAAAAAATGACGCTTTTACGCCTCGCATTTTGTGCGTCGGTGTGCACACTCACATTGGCGCCCTTTGTTTAGTCACGAGGCGTTAAACGTCGGCGATAATCGCGCGTGATATTCGTCCCAGTGTGAACAAGCCTTAACACATCAAAACAGTTCACTGAGTCACATCCTGTCCTGATTAGTTGCAGGTTGTTATTGTTTAAGTCTCTTTTGTCTTCCCCATTCTTTAAATATGCACAGGCCAAAATGAATAAAACATGTTAAAGGAAAATAGTCTGTGAAAGCTACATGCATAGATCACCTCATGCCCACTTAATTATTGGGTTTAAACCCAAGTTTAGTTTACAAAGTGCATCTGTTTATATTAGGAGGGTTAGACAGCTTGAGAGGACAGGACTTTAGATGTTGCTGGTCTGTGTGTGCTAAATCTGTTCATTCAAGGAATCAGGACTGGAAAATCTTTTGTTTTGTTCAGCATTTTATCCCAGGGAAGTAGTGACATAACATTGAGCCCAAAATGTGATCACACCAAAGAAGAATTACAGACACAATTGCTAGTTTGTTTTAGAGTTAGTATTTATTTTATGGCTACAAATAAATACAGTGTATTCAGCAAAACCTAAATGAGGTTTCAGAACTGAGAACAAAGTATATTTAATTGTTATATCTGGAAGCACTTGATTTTTTTTAACCCAAAGAAAAGCATATTGATATGCAAGGATAATTTTTACGTTACGATATTGCTGGGCAGTATTGAAGTTAGACAATAAGCAGTTTAAACTACTATCATGGTGTTTCATTTTCGACAAAGATATTAAAATAAAGTCACAAACTTTATCTTAGTCCATAGTCCAATCTCTAATTCTCTTCTTTATAGATGTCTGAGCTCAGAATGATTACTTCCCCCTTATTCAGTCAAATAATATTCACTAACAGCATCAAACAATTGATGTTCAAGACTGCTGAAATATTTTTCTAATGAATAGTGTGAGCTCTTAAATGAGTTTAACACTACTTGTATTTGATTTAGTTTTCTGCTGGACAGTATTTTAGTGTTAAACAGTTGGGAAGTAGTGACATAACATTGAGCCCAAAATGTGATCACACCAAAGAAGAATTACAGACACAATTGCTAGTTTGTTTTAGAGTTAGTATTTATTTTATGGCTACAAATAAATACAGTGTATTCAGCAAAACCTAAATGAGGTTTCAGAACTGAGAACAAAGTATATTTAATTGTTATATCTGGAAGCACTTGATTTTTTTTAACCCAAAGAAAAGCATATTGATATGCAAGGATAATTTTTACGTTACGATATTGCTGGGCAGTATTGAAGTTAGACAATAAGCAGTTTAAACTACTATCATGGTGTTTCATTTTCGACAAAGATATTAAAATAAAGTCACAAACTTTATCTTAGTCCATAGTCCAATCTCTAATTCTCTTCTTTATAGATGTCTGAGCTCAGAATGATTACTTCCCCCTTATTCAGTCAAATAATATTCACTAACAGCATCAAACAATTGATGTTCAAGACTGCTGAAATATTTTTCTAATGAATAGTGTGAGCTCTTAAATGAGTTTAACACTACTTGTATTTGATTTAGTTTTCTGCTGGACAGTATTTTAGTGTTAAACAGTTAAAACATTAATAACCTGCTAGATTGCAGTTATATTCTATTAAGCAGAAATTTGTTTATTTTGTCTTGTTTGTTGGTTGTTGTGTGATCACACATGGATAATAATGATGAATGAAGTCGTTCATTTGTTGTGAATCAATGCATTTTAGCTTTTTCTTGAATGCACTGGTTTAAAGATGCAGTGTACTTCATCAGCATATAATTTATTTTTTGTTGTATTTATAATTTTTTTATGTTTAAAAAAAAAATGTTTTTAATACTGTCTTGAGAAGATGCCATTTTATTGTCATTTGACACTCTCTTTTAAAACTTGAAATTCTTGGTAGTTCTGTAGTAATTGGCTACTGCTATATTCTGAGCTTTTTTTCCCTACCAAGATGATTTTTTGTCTCTTATGTAGGGCCTCTGTTAATTAGGCAGATGAATAATCTCCTACTGTCTTTAAATTGGAAGCAGATTTTTAAAACAATTCTTGTGAACATTTTTCTCATTATGTGAATATGCTTTCACATCATTTTTTAAATTAGAAATGCATTTTCAACCAAGCTGATTGCTGCACCTTTAGCAACTATGGACACTTCCTTTCTCGTTATTGATCCACATATAATGCCAGATTATTTAAACAAACAATTTTTTTTTTATTTCATTGTAACATCATCCTATCACTCCCAGATTTTAAAAAAAAATTTGACATTACAAAAAAAAATCTGAATAATGATCAGTCAATCCTAATTAAAAGCCAGCAGTAACATGGGAACGATCAAATGACATAACGTTTTATAATAAAAACAGCAGGGCTCTGTAGTTATATAGTATATGTGGATCCCTAATTGTGACTGGACCAAATTTGATTTGATTGTTTCCTTTAAATGTTATAATTTAAAAAAAAACAGCAATAATGGGATTTTAAAGTTGTAATTTGGGTGATTTTGGGTGATTTCTTTTAAATTTGAAAATGAAAATCAAGCCATTGCACTCTCAATTGCAACTCTTTTTTTGACGATGGCATTATAGAAATGTGTCGATTCACTACAGCGCAGCGATTGTGATGGATGTTGCTAAGCTCCATTAACACTTTGCTTTTTCTTCATTTGCGCCTATACAATTTACAAGGGAACTGTTAAGTGTCAAACTAGTTCTTATATTACTTGTGTATCTGCTAGTTTTATATTATTTGTTCTTTATTTATTTAAATTTTAATGCTTTTTTCCAGGAACAGTATTGTGTTTTACTGTTTTTCCCCCCTTCTTCTTTCTCCTGTTCACTTTTGACATTACTCAGATGGAATGAGGAAATGTGCAATACAAAAACAGGCATCTCACCAGTTAAGAACCATAGCATTGGAGAAATCTTTGTTTTTACTTATAATTCTGATAATTTGATGTCAAATAATGCCTGGTTTTGTCCCATAGTTTTTTATTTATCCTCCAAGTCAAAATATATCAATGTGTGTTCAAATACAGTATGTTATGCGGAATGTTAAAATGCCCTGATAGATGGACACCTTCAGTCTGCCAGCCAACCATGACTTGATTTCTGCATTCATACTTTTTACCTACTGAACCGCATCTTGCTTTAAGGGGTTTAGTGACCTCACAGACCCATGGTGAATCAGTATGGAAATAATAGGGAAGCATGGGCATATCTAATCCTCTGAGGCATTTGACAGATCAGCCTGTCAAATTACAAATTTGAGATGGTGGGGCAAATCCATCAGCAGCTATATGAGCGCCTCACCACACACTGCCAACTTCTCTACATCCACCCCCTGTTACCATGGCAAACTCTATCCTAAATCTAAATCGACTTACATACTGTATCATTGACAGATTTCTTTTTCAGTTTTGTTTAGTCTACTAACAAGTTCATTTTTAGCTTTAGGTTTATTCTGAAAATCCAGGTTTAACTTAAAATAGTGTGGGCTGCATATGTTTGCTTCTCTTCCTGTCTGAATTCATTATGTGAGCTTACAACGCCATCGAATTGGAATGCTTTTACTGAGCGTTTGAACATAAGAACAGAGATTTTCACTTTGGTTGAAAATGAGAAGGGTTATGAGTGACTGTCTTTGAGTTTCTGGTCAAAAGAAGCTTTTTATGAGAGTTGAAATGTCTTC